GGGAAAAGCTTCCCACAAGGAATCTTACACTGCTGACCCCAATCTCATCCTTGATTTGATTTAATAGAGGTGGTGGTTAAGGAATTGCCCTGGGATAGGGCTTTGCCTCTGGATTCCCAATATTTCCACTGTCCCTCTGTGATTTCCAGCTTCCAGAGCTGCAGCTCTATCAGGAAAAGGAGCTTGGCCACAGCTCTGCCTGGGAAATCCCTACAAATTCCTGCTGGGCTCCACCTTGAAATCTGTGGGTTCTAATTGCTTTACCCCTCTCTGAGGGAAGCCAGTCCCTGTAGGAATTCCAGAGCCCCAAACATTTGGATGCAGCATTTCCAGGGGACAGCTTGGATCCATCAGAGCATCCCACGCAGGAAGAAATGGAATAATCATTCCAGGGATAATCATTCCCATCATTCCAGGGATAATCATTCCCATAATATTCCAGGGATGAGCAGGACCCAATCACGGCTGTGCCACTGCTTCCTCTTGGATCTGGCTTTGGCATTTTTGGGTGCTCCAGATGTTTGCTGTTTGTTCAAACGTGCAGGACTCACCCAGATGAGGAGTGGAGTGCCCTGGGAAATGCCCAGGATTAATAAGGACACAATTCCCACCTGCTGTGTGTTCTCACTGCCTATTATGGGATGGCAAATGGCTGTGTGGGATTGAAATCCGAGCCCCAGCCATGCTGCCCATTCCAAAGGGATTCTGGGGACAGCCAAAGCCTCCTTAAATTCACTTTTCCAATGGTTTAAACTCCAAATCCTGGAGTTCTGAGCTCCTGTCTGAGGGTTTAGGAGCACTGAGATGCTGCCAGCAATCCATGCTGGGTTTTGGGTGATGAATTACAGCCACGAATTGGCCCTCTTGGCTTTGCAGAGTTTGAGATCTGGTACAACGAGAACTATCGACTCCCTAAGGATGTGAAGAAAGCTCTGGAGCCTGGCGGGAACATCAGACCTGGGATGATTCCCATCAACAGAGTCATGTCCCTGGTGAGTTATCCCAGAGTTCTGCTGGTTCTCCTCAGGAGCCACGAGTGGGGTGTGAGGGAATGAGGGAGCCTGTGGAAGGGGAGGAGGAGAAAAAGGAGGAGTAGGAATGAGGCACAAAGGGGGTATCTGCAGCCACATCCTGCTCTCACATTCCCTTCGCTGTTCAGGCTAAATCAGGACAGTGACTGAGGCACCTGGGCATCTGTGGGACACCAGGCACTGGGCAAAGTGCCTGGGGGTGCAGGGTTTGGATTCCCAGCCCGTGGGATCCCAGCTGTGCAGCCAAACCAGTCCTGTGGTGGGAGCCATGTGGGGACCTGGCTCTTTTCTCATCCTGAAAAGCACATTTCTGTTCAACTGCCCATTCCCCAGAATTCCTGCATCTAAAACAGTGTGACCAGAAGGGGGAATTGTGCACCTCTGAGGTGAGACCCCACCTGCAGAGCTGCCCCAGCCCCAGGGCCAACAGCACAAGGCCCTGGAGCTGCTGGAGAGGGGCTGGAGCCAGGCTGGGAGAGCTGGGAATGCTCCTTTTTCCTGTGGGAAAATCCCAGTCCTTGCAGGTTTTTGCCCAAAGCTGCTCCTCCAAGGTGTGGAAAAGGAACCTCTCACTTGCAGGGTTTTCCTGGCTGAGTGGGTGCTTGGTGTCACAAAAGGGTTGGTTGTCCCAGGTGTGTGTTTTGCACATGGAATGGGGAATGCTTTTCCCTGGCAGGATGAAGATGAGCAGGACAAGTTTGAGCAGGTGCAGGAGAAGGTGCTGCCAGACTGCCCGGGCTCCGTGTCCTTCTACAGGGCCAGGATGAGGACAGATCAAAAGGTAACCCCAGGGAGAGTTCCAGGATGGATTGGGATGGAAGGGACCTTCAGGATCATCCAGACACGGGCAGAGACACCTCCCACTATCCCAGGGTGCTCCAGGCCCTGTCCAACCTGGGCAGAACAAATTCACCCAGAGAGAGCTGGGAATGTTCACCTGGAGAAGGCTCCAGAGACACCTCAGAGCCCTTCCAGGCCCTGAGGAGCTGGAGAGAGACAAGGGATGGAGGGACAGCACACAGGGAATGGCTCCCAGTGCCAGAGGGCAGGGATGGGTGGGAGATTGGGAATTCCTGGCTGGGATGGGATTCCCAGAGCAGCTGTGGCTGCCCTGGATCCCTGGCAGTGCCCAAAGCCAGGCTGGATTTGGTTTGGAGCAGCCTGGGACAATGGAAGTTGTCTCTGTCCATGGATTGGACTGGACTGAAATAAATCTTAAGGTCCTTTCCAGCTGAAATAATCCTGGGATTCCATGAAAACATCTCAGACATCCTTTCAGTGCTCTGGAGAATTTCCTAGGGATTCCTGTCTCCTCCTTGGGATCTGCTCTCAGCAGAGCAATGCTGTGTGATGGGGATCTCCCAGCTCTTTCCAGCACCCCCTGGAAAGTCTTGAGATGGCATTTGGTTTTATTTTTGAGAAAAATAAGTTTCTACAGGTGAGAAGTGTGCTGTGAGAGCCGAGCTGAGCTCAGTGACCCCTTTGTGTTCCCTGTTCCCAGCAAACCTTCAGCAGCTCCCTGGATTCCCTCCAGAGCATGCACAGGAAACCCGGACTGCTCCCGGCTGCTGACAAGAAGAAAGCCCTGACCTTCCTGTCCATCTCATAGCCTGCATCCCAGCATTCCCCACGGAATGGCACCTCAGCAAGGGCCCCCTGCTCGCGTCCACCATCGATTTATAAAAATAAACAGCAGGAGAAGCGACCCACACAACCTTTGGGCAGGAGGGAGTTACTGGGGATCGATGGCGCTGTTTGGACAGGACAGGAGCCAGGCAGCTCCAATGGTTCTGAAACCGTGGAGTTTCAGTTCCTGAGCCTCTGGAAAAGGCAGGATCACAGCACAGAGGCTGCTGGGGGGAACCCAGGCTGCTCCTGATTCCCTCTGTCCCGGTGCTGGAGCTGCACTCTCCTGGGCTTGCTCCCATTGCAGCAACAAGTCATGGCTTGGCCTGTTGGAGAAGGGAATGGAACAAAGATTCATTTCTGGGGAATCACNAGCTGAATTTGGGGATTTTGGGAAGCAGGACAGCTGAATTTGGGGATTTTGGGAAGCAGGGCAGCTGAATTTGGGGATTTTGGGAGCTACCTTGACCCCATTTCCCAGGAAACTCAGCTTGGATTCCACCTCCTTTAAATAAATGAGATTTTTTTCCAGGGATTTTCCCTCCTCACCTGAGTGCTTCTGCCTTTCCATTCTCCATGGGATTTTTGTTTTTTTGGGAAGGAGCAGGATTGCTTTTTACCTTCTCAACTCTTTTTCCTGCTGTCCATCCTCCATTTGCAGCGTGGGGTTTTTGGGATATGAAAATATGAATTAAAAATAAAAAATATGAAAATATTCCATCAAACACAGGGACAGCTGCACTTTTTCCCTTGGTTTTTATCCCAACTTTGGGATTTATAAACAAAGGAGCAGGAGCATTTCAGGCCTGGGGGTGTTGCAGCAAATCCTTCGGTCCTGAGGGTGGGAATGGAGGGAAAATGGGAATAAAGGTGTGGAAGGGATTCCTGGAGCAGTTTTCCCATGGAAACTCTGGATATTCCATCCCTGGAGATTCCCAAGGGTTGGGAACAGCCTGGGGGAGTGGAAGGAGCTCCTGGGATGAGCTTTGGGGTCTCTGGAATTCTGGGATTCTGGGATTCTGGAATTCTGGGATTCTGGGATTCGGGAATTCTGGGATTCTGGGATTCTGGAATTCTGAGATTCTGGGATTCTGGGATTCTGGAATTCTGGGATTCTGGAGTTCTGGAATTCTGGGATTCTGGAATTCTGGGATTCTGGAATTCTGGGATTCTGGGATTCCGGGATTCCGGGATTCTGTGATTCTGGGATTCTGGAATTCTGG